GCATCTGTTTTATGGTTTGTAATTGTTTTGTTTTTTCAAATGTAAATCTTGTCTAAATCATAAAAATTATTATCTTGTATGCCCTATTAGAAACCGCTTTACATAAGATGGAGGAACAGAAGGCTAACGGTGACAAAGAAGAGCATGGGTAAAGTCAATCATCCAGAGGAAATAGAATTAGAAGAAAAGAAGCTCAACCTTTCAGGGGATGTTTCATTCTTAAGATAGAAGAGTTATAGTGTAAATTCTCATGTAATATAAGAAAATACGGGTGCATCGTTACTAAGAAAATAAACTGGACAGTTTTGGGAGCGATCTGTCATCATTTTTAATACTTAAATGTTTTTTATATGTTATACAATAAAATTTCTAAAATCTTAATGTCATATGTTTTTAACTCAGACAAAATATAAAACAGTTTAAGTTTTTGGTTACTTTACGTTTAAAAAATTGAAATGAAACACATTTATGGAAATTTATGGAAAACTTCAAGGGGACTCGTCTTACCTATTGCCCGTTTTTGTCTAAAAGTGTATTTGAACTCAGTATAGTTTTTGCAATACATTTAAAACATGAAGTACGTAACAGTCAAATAGAAATGAAAAATGTGCATACCAAGACTTTAGTATTGGCGCAGTTTTAGTTTAGTGATAACTAGATCATCGCTGGACTTATTTTTCATTACCAGAAACAATTCCACACATAAAGAGGCGGAAAAAGTCCAAGTTTACGTCGCTCTGAAACTTTACAGACAACTCGACTGCTCTTGAACAAGACAAATCGACGTTTTTCACGTACGACTCCGATAGTCCACGTCATTAAAAGTTCCAGAGCCAACCGGATTCGTCTGCAAATCACTCGGAGATCGGAGCGGTCTAGATCTGGAGGCTCACAATGGAATGCCCTACATTTTGTTTTTTGATAAAAAAAATGTTGAAACAGAAAATTCAAGACAAATTTAGGATAATTATTTCTGTTTTAGGAGAATTCTGACAAAAGAATATCGATATTTTTAAACTTCTTGATGTTGATGAAGTCCTCTGGCCGGTATTTATATTTCTTTGTGCTGGTTCAATGGCCTTCGAAGTAACCACATCGACGAACAAATAAGAAGGACTGAGATTAAAGTTTAAATTATGTTAGTTTTTAAAATTCTAGTTTTTCTATTTTACATAAGGATCATTAGGATGTATCGCTTTCTCACCCATTCCGGTACGTTTATATCAAAACTCAGCACTTACCCACGCTCGCTATTAAAAATAACAACACCAATCAAGTAATCCTTCTCACAATAGCCGTGTCTCACAGACAAACGATGAATAACGCAGTGATTCGCGAGTGACGTCATCGCGAAACCTTGTTTTGACCCGACCATCAGACCCAATAATCACATCATTTTTATGCAATGACTGTGGAACGAGTTCCCAAACCAGTTTTTAAGTGGGTAAGCGATTCGAAGACGAGCTGGTTACGTAAGAGATAATGTCGAGAGGAATAAGCAATAAATTTATTCCATAGAATAAATTGGTGCACGGAAATGGTGTCTTAGATTAGAAGTATTTTCAGAATAGATACATTTTTTCTCTCCCCGATAATGTAATCGGAGAATATTAAAGTCGTTTCCAGATCTGACAAATTGAAAAAAATGTAATGGACTGAAAAATAACCGACAATAATAGTTTCAGTGAAAAGAGACACAAATACAGGGCGATTCATAAATGGTGACCAAAAATGAAGCCTCGTATTCCTTGGTGAATTTTAAGGGGTCTTTCCTATAAAGTTTTTATCTAGGACGCTTCGTTAAGAAAATACAGGGTGTTAAACTTCAAAAAAACATTTTTAATTTTTTTAAATAATTTAGAAACTAGTAAGGGAAATAATTTGAAATTGAGCACATGTATTTATGTAAACATTGTCCAAAATTTGAGGGCTTTTCCTAAAGTTTACATGCTCCAGTGGCGGAGATACAGGTTATCGGTGGCATATTTCTTAAAATAAAATAGTACGCCACTGCTTTACAGTAACAACCATGATATTTTCGGATTCGTTTTTCAATTTTCTACAAACTACTACTCTCTTACATTTTTCGAAAAATGCCTGATTTTCGAATAAAACTTAAAAAAAACAACTGAACTTACGTATAGGTTAAAACAATCAGCTGTCAGTGCGATCACGTAGCATAAATGTATACCTATACAGGGTGTCCCACTACGAACTCCATCGATGGATATCTGAAAAATTGACAGATGCAGACTGTTAGCAAAATTTAGTTTTCCCGGAAACATAGGTTTATTTTTTTGTGCAAATTGGACATTTTGCGGAGGAACATCTAATTTATCGAATATGAAATGTGGAAAACTCGAAATTTTTAAATGGAAACCCCACTTTTTTTAACGTATTCGAAATTTCCACATTTTCTGACCTTTTTTTTGACCACCCTGTATAAAAACTGGAAAATTTTCATGTCAAATTCGATAAATTAGGTCTTTCTCTATAAATTGTCCAATTTGCACAAAAAAATAAACCTATCTGATTTTTGCTGACAGTCTGCATCTGTCAATTTTTGTTTATAGCTGTTTTACGTTGACAATTTATTGATCAATTAATTCATGAAGTCGCTTCACCAAGAAATTGGACAAGTGTAATGCACCAAATCTGTTATCAAATAACTTCATGAATTTATTCATCAAGTTCTTGACGAATTAGAGCATGTTCTAATTTTCGTCAATTTCTTCGTGAAGTTCGGAAGTACCAACCCAACAGATTTCCAGCCTCAGATCAGTAATGAGGTTATGTTATTGGAATATGTAAATAATTGTGTGGCGTCGTGCTAATTTTGCATTGTTTTTACTGATTTGTTACTTACAAAAACTAATATTTATATAATATGTGCCAGAACGGTACCGTTGTTGTATCACTACAATTATGAGTGGAAAGGTGACATTTTTTAAATTTATTTGCTTCTTTGATTCATTGGTAGAACTGATTCATACTTCAAAAAAACTTGACAGTCTGTAGCAGTGTAAAACCACACTGTTTACCAATAATATCATGAAGAACTTCGTCAGTTTATTCATTAATAAATTGTCAATGTAAAACAGCTATTAAAAATCAAAATATTTCGGAAACGCTCAATCGTAAGTATGCAGTGTGCTATATGTTTTCAACTTAAAAAGAGATGCTCTTTCCAATCCGTATCACACCATCACAATTTCAAAAAAATCCTTCGAGCGGTTTCCCAGATATCCATCGATGGAGTTCGTGGTGGACACCCTGTATACCTGACAAGGACTGCAACTTAGAAATAACAACTCAGCATAGTCGTGAGTTGTTGCCATGTTTTTGTTGCAACTTTTGGCATTTATTTATGCATATTTCGTAAAAATAATAGTTGAGGAATCGAAATATATAATTTTAAGTATTTTAAACTAGATTTTATTCAATATCTATAAGCAGGTATCTCAATCTCCTTACTCTTTCAAGTTATGAAGAATATTTTATATTAACAGCGGTTATCAAAGTTGCTTTTTAAAACAATTAATGTCACTATTATATCTGTAAATATTTGCAATTTTAAAAAACTGATTTCACTAAACTCATTTAATTTTACCACTAGTTAAAATACATGTTTACATTTAATATTTACCCTGGTTTATAACATTTGTTGAAGATATCAATTTTACAAAGCTCATTAACCAACCTTGTTACCAGTTATTACTGATATAATTTCAGGTAGGTAATCTATAAAACCATAAAAATTAACTACAAAAACAAACGACTATCTAACAATAAACGAATTAATATTGGAAATAAGCCACACCACGCGTGACGTCATTTATAATCATATAAGTAAATAATACATATTATAAATAATGATGAACAGCTTCTACGAAACAGCGTTCGATTTTTGCAAATCGTCCCCTTGACCTTCGATCGTCTGTAGCTGCTGTGTAATGTTTACTTTTATTAACATGAATTTTTTTACGATATGTAACTGATAACATTTGCTCTGTGTATGGAATGATAGAAACCACAAAGAATAAATATGGACACTACATTTTTCTAAGCTCCAATAAGAATATTTGCCGGCACTCGGGACTGGTTTCGAATTTCCTGGAAATAACGACAAAAATACATGTTTTGTAATCTATATGGGATATACAGATACCTAACCTGAAAATAACGAAAAAAAACTTCCAAATGTAGCAAAATTATGGGTATTTTTCACAAATGAAATAATTTAGACTTGAACTTTTTATTTTAGACATTACAGTTATGGTAAAACTGTTCATTTACATAGCCAACTAGTTTGAGACAACAACTTGTGCATGGAATGGTGTAAAATAAAATCTTCAAAATTATTTTCTATTTGCTCACATTTCACGGTCGTGGAAAATCACAGGGTGCTGTGTGAAACAAATAAAAGTAATTGACAAGCAGACGTTACTATAAAATCAATTGCATAAGGTTCACAGTCTTGCCAACTTAAATTGTTAACTAAGCACAATGAAGAGGAAACTCGCCATTTCAAGAAATATATGAAAAATTGTGTGAACGCGATACGACAAATTTTAAAGACCAATAATATGATCGTGATTATGATTCAAGATGTTGAAATTTCAGTTCCCGGGACTCGCAACTCGGTGCCCGTCAGATTTATCGTAGCATCCTTGGGCATTTCTTGCTAAGAAAGTATTAAAACGCCGACTAAATTATATCACACGATCAAACATTAGTAAATATGTTCAAAAGAACCGGGCTAATATAAATCACTTTGTACGAGCCTGTGAAATACACTTTTCGCATCCTAAATAAGCTTTGATTTGACCCACTAGTGTCCAATTAGAGTTACAGCACAGCATACGTACTCTATTTGCTAAAGTCCCTCAAGCCAACGCCAACAAACTTTAAGGAATCTAGTAGGCATACGTCGCTGCTCGTTACAATTTGACATATTTCCGAGGCAATTGCACATTTAATGAAACGTAAACACTACTCACTGTAACAGTTACATCCTCTGGTGGGCGCAGAGCTAAAATAATCCAACAACTAACTATGCCAGAATGTTCAGTTTCTGGATCCGCACTGGGAACTTAGCACAGGCACAAGTTTTTGGCGGGGTAAACAACAAACAATCGCGGTGCGACGTGTCGCAACACCACTTGCAAAACACCTTCACAATACGAAGATCGCACTCTCCGTGGAATCGTAGCCGTTAATTTCAATCGAAAATAAAACCGTCTCTGCTGGAGGTTTGCATCGCGTACGGGCGTCAGACGGAGCGTGGCCACGCGAAACTCACAACGATCCAGTGCGCACTGACAAAAACAAACGTCGATCCGCGATCTGCGCCTCCTTCCAAGTCGCGTTCACGTGTACGTTGTGGCCTCGCGCTGCTATGGATCCAGGCTGCCATGGACTCCTGGACTGGACCGGTAGGGCGAGAAGAGGGTTGGTTGTCGCGGTTGGTTATTGTTATTTATCGTGGCGGACGGGGTGTCGAAGGGTTGGCTAAGCGTGTGAGATATAAATTTCATTCATACATGGTGGTTATTCAAAAAAGAATGCATATATACAGGGTGACATAGAAAGAAGTACATAGCATAGTGTCATACAATAGAGGACACTAAAACAAGAAAAAAAGTTCCTATGAACATGGGTCCGCAAGGCCTTCGGTTAAAGGATACGGGGTGTTGAATTTTAATTTTTTTTTATTTGCAAAAACAATGATAAATACTTCAACAATTAAATTTTAATGGTATGATGAAAAATATGATTAATTAAAACAAAACATTAAGTTTTTAGAAGATGTTCAAATTGTTGCCCTTGTACTTCAATACATTTTTCCATTCTTCTTTTTAATGATTGACGGCATCTTTGAAATATTCCTAGGTTATTATGAAATCTATCTGCCGATTCCATAATTCTTATCCATAATTGTTCTTCATTATGTATTTCTACAGCATAAACTTCATATTTCATAAATCCCCAAAATGAAAAATCGAGGGAATTAAGGTCGGGACTACGAGCTGGCTAGGGTACAGGCCCCTTTCGACGAATCCACCTATTTCCAAATCTCATGTCCAAATATTCCCTTGCCACTCGAGAAAAGTGAGCTGGCGCCCCATCATGCATGTAATACATTCTTCCAATAATGGCCAATGGGATATCCTCTAATAATGTGTTTAAATCATTCCAAGAAATTTCGATACAGTGCACCTGTCAATCGATTGGGCAATCGAAATGGGCCAATTAAGTAATTGTCGATTATACCTGCCCACACATTAATAGAAAACCCATATTGGTGACTCCGAATTATAGTTTGATGAGGATTTTCATCACTCCAATGGTGCATGTTATGTAGGTTCAGAATACCATCACGACTAAAACTAGCTTCGTCAGTAAACAAAATTGATGAAATAATGTTTTCTCTTTGGTTTTGAAACCATTCGCAAAATTGTACACGAGGAACAAAGTCATGTTCCAATAGTGAATGAATTTTTTGGAAATGATATGGGCGAAGAAGTTGTTCTTTGAAAATTTGTCTAACTGATTCACGGTTAAGGTTTCGCACCGTTGAACTTGTTTTCCTGGTGCTTGTTCTCGGATTATTTTCTACCATTCGTAAAACAGTTTCTTCGTTTCGCACAGTGCGACGAGTTCTGGAAACCCCACTATTCAATTTTGGTTTTCTAAAACAGCCATCTTCTCCCAAACGCCTATGCACATCAATAAATGTTCGAACATTAGGAACTTGTCTTAAAGGATATCTTTCTCGATAGATACGTTGAGTTTCGTAAGAATTTGATCTAGCTTCGCCGTAACACATAATCATGTCCCTGTATTCTTCAAAAGTGTAGCGAACCATTTTTGAAAGCAATTTTGAATAATCATTGAGAAAACCAATGAAAAACTTAATCAAGAACACAAAATACCTCTAACAATTATTATATTAGTTTGACAAGTGTCATTATGACACATTATTTAATTGTTATTTATCATTGTTTTTGCAAATGTTACTTTGGCGCTTTTTGAATAATTTGCGTGCATTGTCGGCTTTTGTACTGGAACCATTGCTTCTAGCGACTTGGACAAGGTATACCTTTCTTACGTATAAAGAAGGGATAACAATTTTTTTTCAGTCGAAAATGACATACAGTGTATAGCAAAAAAGTTAGGACCGATTCAATAGATATGGAACCCTGTATGTAGCGCCCTCTATCAGTAATCACAAAACTAAGATCATATTTGAATTTAGCATGATAAAAAAAACCCTGTATACCACATTTTATCCATTTCTTGCGTCTCTGGCTAAAGATATTAAAAAAAAAACCCAAACAAAAATAAAATTCAACACCCCGTATCTTTTAACCGAAGGCCTTGCAGACCCATTTTCATGGGAACTTTTTTTCTTATTTTAGTGTCCTCTATTGTGTGGCACTATGCAATGTACTTTTTTCTATGTCACCCTGTATATACAGGGTGATTCAGTCATAATGTCATTAATTTTAACTTTAACTTTAAAATTTTAACAGAAAATCGGAAAAAAATTTTTGCTTGACTTTTAAAAATGAAGAAAATCAACCCATAACTCCCGCTGGCCCTGCCAGATGCCCGGATGCTCGGAAAATTTTGTAACGTAATGTCACGAACAAATCGTCAGCTGAGGCAAACAGCGTTGCCAAGTTCACATCATAATATGTGGTTCACATTTACTTAATCCGCTTCAGTATACGGATACATACGTACGAAACCAATAAAATGCAAGTAAATAAAGGATCATGCTGCATGTTATTATAAATAATTTTAATAATTGTATTAACTTGGTGCAAAATGTTCCAACAAGCCAGACTTCTCGAAGTCAACTTTCGTTAAAAGAAAATAAATAAAGAAGAGGTTTGTAGGCACACCGTATTTTATCAAATAAAAAAGTCGGTACACTAAATACCCGAATATACAAAATAGGCTACACACGGTTACAAAACCATTAACAATTTAAAGCGTTTATACAAATCTACCACCCTCCATATTTCTCCTATTTTTCCCGCAAAGGAGTTAACATCACACATTTTCAAAAAGTTCAAGCTTTAGAAGCAGCTGATTTTCCCCAATCGTCTTGAATTTTACAATTAGTTCCTAAATCGAAATGCAGCAGAACTTTATTAACAAAGTGCTCTGGACGGATGAATGCTGTTTTACTCGTGCTGGCATTTTAAACAGGTAAAAAACGTAAGTATTGCTTTCTCAAAAATAATAAGTACCTACCTACCTTGGTTACACCAAAGTTTAGATTTACACTAAAGTTTACATTTATTATGTAAACTGGTTATCCGCAACTGCATATTGAATAATAAATTGAAATACTAAAACTGTGTATTATTTAACATAATAAATTATAAAACGTGAAAACGTTAATAATATTAAAAATGATAAATTGTAATAACCGTACATTCGAAAACAATCATCCCTATTCATTACATTCAATTTGATGACACGATTTTTCTTTGATAAAAGACCGACAACTTTTTGCTCTACTTTGCATGGAATACGATCCTACTACAGTTCGTACTAGTCTAGGAACCAGATAGGGTTCCGTGTACTAGCTATAAAAATTTAAACATTTAATTTGTTGATAACAATTAAACTGACCACTTTCAGGTTTTGCGACCAAAGTTTTTTGGATTCAGGAGGTCAAAATACTTTAGAATAAGTTGTTTGCACCCGTGGCACTCTGATTGGTAACGGAACCCTGTTTGGCTCCTAGACTATAGTGCACGTGCAAATTAGAAGGTTAGTGACCTCGACACAGATTAGCCTAGCTCGGAAACACGTACCGAGTTGTTTATTTGTCTCCGTCCGATTGTTTTTTTTATCTTTTATTACTTACTGTCAATTTTTAAATACTACATACATTTCACCCTCTCTTTATAATTTATCTAGTGAGTGTTGTTTTTTGTCATTATTTCTGTAATGAAATTGAAATGGTTATGAAATGAAATTTAAATTATTTGAACACTTGGAGTTTTGTAACTTCAATATTAAATTTTATTTAAAGTGAAACAGAGCTAATTTCTTTGCAGCCATAATAGTCACATTTGGTCAGATGAAAACCCGCATTCTACTCGTCGGTTTAGCTTTCAGAGGAGATTCGGTGTCAATGTATGGTGATCGCTTAATTGGGCCGCATTTTCTACCTGAACATCTGAATGGGCCGCGTTACTTTCAATTTTTAGTAGAAGGCTTACAGCAAATTAAAAAATTATCACTATGATGTTAATAAAAACTGATTTTTGGCATGCTCAGACCTCCTCAAGGTTCTTGCTGGGCAACAATAACAATTTAATATGTTGATTGCATAATTATAAAAAATAATTTATAGCATTTTAAATTATTATTGGCATAATGTTCCGATTCTCTTTTGTGACTCAAATTTGCATGAAAACCTTTAAAAGCTGGTGCGCTCTGTGGACCTGGTTAATATTTTTATATTAAATTAAAATTAATAATTTACTTATGTAAACACAAACCCTTTTTATAATTTTGACAGTTTTTTATCAAATTGAAAAAATAATTAATCGATTCTTCAAGTACATACTTGAAATATAACTCGCTTGGCTTAACATTCTTAACATTAACACGGCTTGATTTCAACTCAAATTAGGCACGTAGCTTGAAAATCAAGTAAAACCATATATTTCTACATATGGGTTTAAATTTTGTGAACTGTAAATGATGTGTTAACATTAATCTCCAGAAAAATATTGGTTTCCCTGCCAAGCGCCTTTATCAAATGAAATATTTAAAATTTGTAACATCCTGTAGAAATCTTGAAGCCACGGTGAAACTTGTAAATGTATAGTAAGCACAGCATTGTTACATTTAAAATAATATCCCTTTGTCTTCACTTTATTTCCGAGCAGTGACAATCCAATTTTTCACACCAGGCGGAGAATTGCTCTTGATTGAGACAATTATCAGATATTAGTCTAATTAGAAAAAAAGCGTTAGTTTAATTTCTGACAGTCATTTCTCAATGTGACCAGGACTTACTTTCATATAAGCACAATGTACCAAGTACAATAAGCACACAATGGAAAAACTTCAGCGTGCACTCTTTTTCATTAGAAAAGAAGAAGTGTTCGGCTTTTTACTTAATCGAGACAAACTAGGATAAATAATAAAATCAGACGCCACTGTCAAAAGTGGCACGTAATTTATCGGTAGATCAATTCGCTCTCTAAAAAGAAACGACCCAATTGCTTCATAAGAGTATTTATTACAAAAGTTCAAAGTTAAAAATAAAATC